GCCAGTGCTTACTTGATAAGTTTGTTTATCAAACAGATATTTTTGTGGAAAAATTTAAATTATCGTAGGTTAAAGCAGTATTCAAGAAAGTAAATAACACTGATAATCAAGTCCTCGAATTATCGTCAAATCTTTTGAATTATCGTCCTATTACTATTCTTTGTATGCTTATTTCAATACCTAACTTAATAGGTCGGGAAAAAGTTTTACCGTATTTTATATACAAATTCAAGTTATTTTATTTAAAGGTAACTACATTTAATCCTAATATATACGAGTATTTATGTGCCATTCTGTTCGATAACTTGTTGCCATCTTGTAGGTAGTGACATAATCCTGTTGCTGTAAAAATCTTGGGATTTTTGATCAAAAGAAAAATATAACAAGTAGTTTTGACAGTCTTCTTTTGATGTTAACCTTTTTTTTATAGGATAGGGTGACAAACGAGCACTCAGTCCACCTGATGGTAAGTGGTTGCTGTGGCCCATAGACATCTACATTTATCCTCGTTTGTGAATCAAAATGCAGATGCGTTGTCACCCATGAGGACTAAGATGGAATGCCTTTTTTCCAGTAGAAAGGGTCTACGGTTCTCTACCCTCACCATACGAAACACAGCAGCATTAAGCTGCTATTTTACGCTGGTATTCTGTGCGAGCGTGGTCCTTCCCCGGTCGAGCCGACCAATTCGTGCTACAACTATACTACTAATATAGCTGCAGCATGGCTCTACCACGTGTTACCTAGTGATAGAGCCCACGTGTAACCTAACCTAACACTACACAAAGAATTCTGAAGAAACCGAAACAGGTGAAAATCTAAGGGTGCAAGGTCAGGACTAAATGGTGATGCATTAATACTTCCCAATCAAGCTCTCTTTGCAACCTTTTTGCTGAATGGCGAAATTTTTTTTTATAGGATAAGGGTGACAAACGAGCACACAGTCCACCTGATGGTAAGTGGTTGCTGCGGCCCATAGACATCTACATCTATCCTCTGTTACAAAGACTAAGATGGAATGCCTCATTTCCAGTAAAAAAGGCCTCCGGCCACCTGCACTCACCAAGCGAAACGCAGAGGTAAACCTCTACTTCACGCTGGTTTTCTGTGAGGTCGTGGTACCACCCCAGTTCGAGCCGGCCCATCCGTGCGACAGCAAAAGCTGCCGCGTGGCTCTACCACTGTTATAAAGACCTCGTATGTGTGTGGTCTAGTGTTATTATGATGAAAGACCACTCCTTTTCTGTTGATCAATTTCGGCCATTTTTTCTCAAATTCTTGCTTGAGTCTCGTTAGTTGTTAACAGTAGAGATCCGAACAACAACAGAAGAGATAATAAACAATGCCCTTCCAATCACACCATACACACAACATCAACTTATTGCGTGTTAATTCGGCTTCCTTTACAGTCTGTGGAGTTTGACTGTCCTTTGACCGTCATCTGCTTCACACGTTATTGTCGTAGGTGAATCACTTTTCATCATCATCATCATTTCATCATTACAGCCTTTCATAAGTCCACTGCTGAACATAGGCCTCCCCCAAGGAATGCCACAAAGCACGGTCCTGAGCCACCTGCATCCATCGACTTCCTGCATGTCTTACCAGGTCGTCACTCCATCTCGTGGGGGGTCGCCCTACACTTCGCCTACCGATACGAGGCTGCCACTCGAGAACCTTTCTTCCCCATTGGTTGTCGGTTCTTCGAGCTATATGACCGGCCCACTGCCACTTCAGCTTACTAATCCGTTGGGCTATGTCGGTTACTCTGGTTCTACTGCGAATATACTCATTTCTAAGTTTATCACGCAGAGAAACTCCGAGCATAGCCCTCTCCATAGCTCGCTGAGCGACCTTGAGCTTCCTCATACGGCCAGCAGTGAAGGACCATGTCTCAGTTCCGTAAGTCATCACTGGCAACACGCACTGGTTGTACAATTTCGTTTTAAGGTTTTGAGGTATGTCAGACGAGAAGATGTGTCGTAGCTTCCCGAACGCTGCCCAGCCGAGTTGAATCCGTCGATTGACCTCTCGGTCGAAGTTGGACTTACCTAGTCGGACTATTTGTCCCAGGTAAACATACTCGTCAACAACTTCGAGCTTAGGGCTCCCAACAACTACCGGCATAGGTGTGACATGGACATTAAACATGATCTTTGTTTTGTCCATGTTCATCTTAAGACCTATCCGTTGGGAGACACTATTGAGGTCATTGAGCATAGTGCTTAGGTCCTCCAGCGATTCTGCCATAAGGACTATATCGCCGGCAAATCGAAGATGAGTGATGTACTCGCCATTGATGTTAATACCGTATCCTTTCCAGTCCAGAAGTTTGAAAACGTCTTCCAATGCAGCGGTGAAGAGTTTCGGGGATATAACATCACCCTGTCTTACACCTCTCTGCAATTGGATAGGTTTCGTACTCTGGTTCTGTACTCGGATAACCATCGTAGCTCTACTGTACAAACACTTCAGCACTTCGATATACCGACAGTCAACTTGGCACCGCTGAAGGGACTGCAGCACCGCCCTAATTTCGACGGAATCAAAGGCTTTCTCATAGTCCACATACGCCAGACATAGTGGCAAATTGTACTCTTCGGACTTCTGTACAATTTGCCGAAGGGTATGTATGTGGTCTATGGTGCTAAAGCCCTTTCGGAAACCGGCTTGTTCGGGAGGCTGGAAGTCGTCAAGTCTGCACGCGAGACGATTCGTAATGACTCTCGAAAACAGCACGTAGACGCGGCTCAGAAGGGAAATCGGTCTGTAGTTCTTCAAGAGAGCGTTGTCACCTTTCTTGAAGAACAAGACCACCGCACCTCTGCTCCACGCCTCCGGTGTAAAATAAAAAACTTTTCATCACCAGTGATCAATCTATTTAAAAATGTTTCGGTTTTATTACGTTTTTATAGAGAATCGCAAATGAGTACACGATTCATTAGGTTTTTTTCAGTGAGCTCGTGTGGTACCCAAATATAGAGGTTCTTTTGTATAGCCAGACTTTTTCACATTAGCCAAAACTATTTTGTTGTCAATTCCTCGGCTATGTCGTAACTACTAATATACATTATGTGATAATTTCAACTATCTACCTATTCAGGATCATGAGATACAGCACACTGACGGAGAGTCAGCGGCGGCTTAGTAATAGAGTGCTGTTGTTTACCCTTCAGATACGGAACCCTAAAAAAAAGTCACGAGCCTTGATTGGAGCTAGATTGCATGAAGCTTGTAAGCCTTTAAGGGTCGGAACATACTTACTTTGCGGGAAATGTAAATTCTCAAAGTTAGTGTACATGTAAAAATAATTGAATATTATTTTCAAAACAGCGAGCGATGTTTATCAGCGGAGTACAAGAAAATGTGATAGAATTGTCTTAGACCGCGTACCTAAAATGTTATTCTTTCATAAGCTTAACTGCTATACTATTGTGATATATTATAACAAATTATATAATAGTAACTATAATAACCAACAAACGAACATATTGAAAACCAAACATAAGAACTGGTTTTTAACTAAATGCTTTAATGATAAATGAGTATAAATGAGTTGTTGAAATGATAAAAAAAAGTTGTTTATTTTTTAAATCTAAAATTATATTATACATGTGCTCTTTGAAAGCTGACTAATATGTTTTGCTTGACATTTTAAAACTTTGACCACTTATAATTATTTTTATTGATAATATAATATTGTATTATGAAAGTAACTAAAATTATATTATTCATGAAAAATGATAATTTTCGCATGCCTCACGTGGTGAAGATGCTGTGAACTGAAATAAATGTATTTTAATGATGAATATAGATCCATAAATTACCTCATATGGGGTATATTTATCTATCTAATTCCTGGTTTGTTTCCCACTGTCGCCTTTTACGAGCCCCATGGGATGATATGATGGTAGTAGATAATCTTACACTATAATGATTGAAAAATGATTGATAAATGATTAGTAATATAATGTAACTTATTAAATATACCAAATAGTAAAATTTAAAATAAATATAAACATATATAAAACTCCAACTAGATGGAAGGCAGGAGACTAAACGAACGAGAATTTGTGGAAACGGAAAGACATATAAAGTATCGAGGTGCACCACCGCCTGCATTTGGGCCCGCAGCGGTCCGCCACGAAGTTCCAGTCACTTCTGTTTTCAGATCAGAGATTCTCGTCATATGGAATGGTAATATCGACTAAAGATATTCTAGACTTTGCCCGGTTCATAAACACGATATCAGGCTCATTCGCAAGAATGATCCTGTCTGTGATGATGGCCTGGTCCTTGTAGAACCTGGAGACTACATATAATAAAGTATTTTTCAATCGAGAAGACCGTATCTTGACTACTAGGTTTTGTGTGTACTAATACACAATGTAAGAAAGCGTCGAGCAACAGGACAAACTCGAGAGAAGTGAAAAAAAAAGATTAGATTATTATTATGAGCTATAATTATCTGCTTTGACCAGCTTCTTATCAATTTGATGCAAATGAATCAATATCATTTTGTCAGTGCAGCTGCTGCTAACTAACTTTATCTGGTTTGAGATGAATCCAATTCAAAGCGTCGTTAATCGTCTTGGTCTCTATCGTGATATCGTTATAAAGGTTTTTGTTTTCAGAACGGAAGCAATGAAATCGAAAATACACAGTATATTTGTATGAAATCCATAGATGTTATACAAATAGTAAATCGTGTATATGGCGGAAAAACAAATATTTATAATTGTTTTTCTAAAGCAATATTATTGCTTTAATATAAATTAATTTAAATTTGGAATTCTTCTTGGATTTTTAAATTAGCCAGTATTAGAAAATGGCAACTCCAAAGATTAAGTCATAATATTACTTAGATATGCACGTCTTCCCTGTCCTACAACATTTATAATAATAGAACCTTGGATAAAATTTAATTTTAGTGCCTGGATTTTGAGCTACTTGTTTCATAACTCTATATGTATAATATAATAGATTAAATTTTCACTCACCTTTTGTACCTGACGTTTGATGATTTTAGGAAAACCCCATGTGGTTATTACAATGGAAACGATTAAAGCACAAATAGAAACCGTGAAAAATAATTTCGAATGTTTTCCCAACATTTTGACAAAGTCACTGAATCACTTTTTATTTTATATTTAGCCGAAAATCACGAATGCAATTTGCGGATTTATCACACTATTTGCTATTTCATTAACCGGGGAAGTTTAAAAATAGTTTTTTCCAAATTTAAATTATATATCTAACTTCTAATTTTAATATTAAAAAAGATGTTTTAAAACCAAATATTTAAAATAATTGTATTTTAAAATTTGAAAAATAGAAAAGTTCCGTAACGGAAACCGTTGGAGAGGACCGTCTTCTTCGAAACTCAATAGACAATTATAATGTATATGATAGTTCCACACGCGTGCAGTTTTTCTTGTCATTTCCAATAAAAGCAAATGGATGTCGTAAGGCCATGATCGAAGTTTTATTACGAGTTAACATCAGTAACTTTAAACATTGTTCTGATGATACGGTTGAGATTTATGCAGTTGCTGATTAGTGTAATTTTTTATATATAAATAATTTTACATACGTGTTGGTACAGTCCGAATACGTTCATTTTAATTTACAACAGTTTTTTATTTCATTACTTTGTTTAAATATCTTTGAATAAGTTTAAAATCATGTTTTGATTGTGATTACACTACTAACTACATTAAGATTAAATAATATCTTATTATTATTATAAATACATACATATACACTCGTATACTTTCACGTTTGTCACCCAGAGGGAAAGTAGAAACTACGAATTCTATCACACTTGCAGGTAAACATACTTGTAAAGAACTTTGAGCACATTGCTCCCAACAACTATCGGGATAGGTGTGACATGGAAGTTACACATGATCTTTGTTTTGTCCATGTTCATCTTAAGAGCAATCCGTTGGGCGGCACTATTCAGGTCATTTAGCATAGTGTTCCATTAGTGTTCCTCCAGCAATTCTGCCAAAAGAACTATATCTTCCGCTAATCGGGGGTGGTGATGTACTCGCCATTGATGTTAATACCGTATCCTTTCTAGTCCAGTAGCTTGAAAAAGCCTACCAATGCAGCGGTGAAGAGCGGAGATATAACGTCACCCTGACTTACACCTCCCTGCAGTTGTATACTCTGCTTCATAATCAGTCACACTCGCACCCTTGAATGCCCGCTGGTGACACGGATCATATATTGTGATATCACGCACATGTTCTAGCAGTTCAAAGTATTTCGTAGGCGACTAAAAGGGATCAGTCGGTAATTTTACGTGTCTCATTGTCGTTACTATGTCCGTTCGGGTATTCTCCTAGTGTAGGCAAGGAAGATCGTGTTCCTGAGAGGCAGCCCTGTGTTACATTGAGATGGGTAGTGATACTGTTGGCATGCATACTTTGGTGTTATCATGTAATTGGGTTCTGATAGTAAGCAGGGTTTGTTGCTGAGTGGTGTTCTTTTATTTAAATAATTACGAGAATAATATTAACATCAGAAGTGGAATAATTTCTTACAATATTATAATTTCAAACATTAAAAACAAATCACTATTCTTAAGCCAATGTTCCGTAATGCATATCACTTGAACATTGAGATGTTTAAGAAGTAACTCGATTTCTTATTCCTTGCCGGCCAGGCCTTCTTTGTTTTGATGATTAATATTAAGCTTTAACGCCTGAGCATCTGTCTTATCAAAAATTTTAAATCATTATTAGGTGGTTATTCAAAAGCATTTCATCAATGTAATGTGTCGATCGCAGCACGTTTTCCAAATTCTTAGAAGTTGCTTTTCGGGTCAGATGCTTTGTACATATACATAGTAAACATACGTTGTGATTGTTTAGTGACTTAATTCTTTTAGGTGTCTCTTGGAAGAATGAATATTAACTAGAGCAACCCAAAGCCGTCGGTAGTGCCTAATAATTATTTTAAGTCTAAGACCCCTTTCACGAGGAAAGGGCTCAAAAAAGATGAACAACATTTTAATCATCCCTATTTCACCCGTATCAGATTTATATTAGTCAATTCCTTATCAACTAATCCCTACTTGCTTGGAAACGGTTAATAAAATTAACATAAAATACCTGATAGTAGGGTAGATGTGCTGCCATTCATTTAATATGTTATTTTTTTTCTAAATAAAACCCAAGTTGATTTGTTATGCATTTCTCGATAATTTTGTCAATACTTGATAATATAGCAATTGGTCTATAGTTCGAAAAAACTTTTCAATCACCCTTTTTATGGACTGGACGAATTATGGCTTCTTTCAATTTTTTTTTATTAAGAAAACCAACAGCTTTACAAATTATATATCTTATAACTATATGTAATGTAGTATTGCCAATAACATGTTTCCCTTAAATTAACAAATGGCACTGTAACAATCAAAATTTGTTAATGTTAAAGTTAACTCTATAAATATATTATGGAATTCAAGGATGCCATCCGCTTAAACCTATCAATATTATAGATAGTTAAGTAGATACTAAACTAAACTGTACACCACACAAAACAAATCAGGTAGAGAAATACATTCTACATGTTTGCGAAAGTAATATATAAGTACCATCCATTATAGATGTAAACAGAAACATTGACAGAAGGCAAAGACAAAAAAGAAATGTAAAGGTTAAAGTACAACTTTTGTTTATAGCGTTTAAATTTTGTGAGAGTTTTTGATGATGTCTGTCATCTTCTTTTTGAAAGTTAACTTGCTTGAGCAAAATAAGTCAACCTGGCTAAACTTTGCATTGTATGTTCGGGGTAACCTAACCATGACAGTATTCGAACCGTAGTTAGTGCGACGTAATTTATTCGGAAATCTACGATGCTTTACCGACATGTTAACTATATTAGATATGACAGGACTTACTTTGTCAACAACTAACTTTAAGTCATCAACATCCGTACCAGATCAGTTCCCGGCGATTTATTTTTATCTAATTGATTAATCACACGTTTGACTTCTCCACTACTGACCGGTTGCCATCTCATACATACATCAGGTCTATCAACGTAATTGTCCCTTACTAACCATATTTTTTGTACATGTGTGCCTTATGAGGTCGACTTTGCTTAAAAAGTTATCAGCAAACTTATCACTAATTTCTTTTACACTGCCTTGGTTTTCCATATTAGAAAGTATTAAGTCGTCTAGTGATTTTCTATCATTACCCAATAAACTATTTATCTTATCCCATAGTTTCCTTATATTTTTGTTACAGTCTAGTATACTCTGTTTATCATTTTCCATCTTACATTTAAAAATTGCCTTACTACATTTATTCCTATATTTAGTATAATTTAATCTTTTTATCATATTTTTTGGTTCATTGTACCATATAACAAATAATCTATCTCTTTTTAAAATCATTCGTTTTAAGTTTTCCCTTATCCATCCTTTATTTCTAAATATACTTTTATTCACCCCAACTGTTTGCAATTTGTAACATTCATTATATATATTAGTAAAAATACTAGTAAAAGCTTCGTACAACTCAACTGAACACTTAATGTTTAATAAATCATCCAAATTTGTTAATAGTAATTTTTCTCTAACTAAACTTTTATCTCAAGAATTGACTGGTTCTCCGTACCACATATCGTATTAGATGGAGCTATAATCCCTTATTTTGACAATGTAAGAAAACTTGGTATTTATCTAGATAATTCCTTAAATTGGATACGCCAACTGAATGACGTAAGTAAGAAAACTTTTGTCACTCTTAGTTCACTGCGTCGTCTTCGATCATTTCTTCCCATTCCTACAAAAATTATGCTCGCACAGTCTCTTCTCCTTCCGATTCTTCTGACGCAAACTATGTAGACATAACTGAGGACCAGCTAAATAACCTTGAGAGACTTCTTAAAAGACTTCTGAGTATTCGGTTCATATTTGCGCAAATTTAACCATATTTCTCAATTTCGCTCACGTCTCAAGTGGTTACCTGTTCGATTTCGCCGAAACATTCTTTCTATTCTGTGCTGTGTATTATTTCAGCCTTCTACCCCTATCTAAAGGAGAAGTTTAATTTTGTAGGGCTTCCTGGGGATCCTCTACGCTCTTCAAGAAAATTCATTTTAAAGGTACCAACTCACAATACATCATTATTTAATAAATCTTTTCTGTCCAGTCTATTAAGCTCTGGAATACTCCCGTTAGGATAAATTATGTGATTATGTGTTTATTGTATTTATGAGCTTGTATTTTGTAATTTATATATATATATATATATATATATATATATACACTTTATTTTTTATTATGTATTAGTAATTTACATTATTTCATGTATGTTCGCGCAAAACTCTGTTGTCGGAATCGACACCAGATGTCACTCGGCTCGGCGCGATTCCGGTCTGAAGTTCTTCCGAGCGTGGCAGTGGCGCGCGGGTCGCAAGGGAGTCAGTCATCGGCCAGATGCGCTAATGTTTGCACGCTGTTAATTTTGTGCGGGAACCGCGGAATAGTTAGGGCGTCTAGTAAATATCCTGTCTAGGAATTATAACGCGTATTCCCTGTTTGGATAGCCTTTCCCGGGACTTATTGGGTCCGACTCAGAATCTGTATAAGTGCATTCGACAATATAAGCTAGTGCGGCCTCCGTATTTAGAACTATCTGTTGCCACGCGAACCGGTAGTGACCTTTGACCCAGAAACTCCGGGCGTGTTTTGTGCGGTAACCTTATACCCCGCGATAGTTAGTGGCTTCGGTAAGCTAGTTAATAGTACGATAGAGTTAAGTGACTGTCATCGTGGTGAACCAAGAAAGTGACTGTGGATAACCTCGAAAGGCCCCCTCAAGTTGGAGCGGTGTCGACGCTCGGGCTGCTGCCGACGGCTAAGGTCTAGGTTCAATCACCATCAGTCACACCCAGATACACACCACATCACCATTCTTTCCCTTGCACTACACAACCACATGCGACCTGACCGACTCCGGAGGGACCAGTCGCAGAGTCCGTAGAGGTAAGTGAACTCCGCCAAATTCCTTCCGGTCGACTGGCCGTAGTATAACGCTCCCCCATATATTTTAGTGTAATTAGAGAGATTCCACGTGGCCTTAGGAGGCCC